GTTTTCAATGTTAAGGAAAATAGGATTTGGTGGCAGATAGATCATGTGGATAAAATATAGCTTGACCACAGTCAAGTATTCGATTCTCATCAACAGAAGTCCAGTCGACTTCTTTTCACCTAAAAAAGGATTACGGCAGGGTGATCCCTTGTCTCCTTTCTTGTTTATCCTAGCTATGGAGGGCCTTAGCAAGATGTTGGACAAAGCAAAGCAGCTGCAGTGGTTAGATGGTTTCAGTGTTGGGAGACCTCAAAGGAATGCAGTGTCAGTCTCACACCTGCTCTATGTGGATGACACATTATTTTTTTGTGGAGCAGAAATATCTCAGGGTCAATATCTTAATCTAACTCTGCTCATTTTTGAAGCTATCTCTGGACTTCATATCAACATGGCAAAAAGCATTATCTACCCTATTAATGAAGTTCCTGACTTGGGAGATCTAGCTGATATTCTTTGTTGTGGTACTGGTTCCTTCCCCGCAACATACCTGGGCCTTCCATTGGGAGCTAAGTACAAGTCTACTGCAGTGTGGAATGGTGTGCTAGAGAAGGTGGAGAAGAGATTGGCAACATGGCAGCTGCAATATCTATTAATAAGAGGCAGGGTAACCTTGATTAGTAGTGTAATGGACAACATACCAACCTATTACATGTCACTATATCCTATGCCCAGCAAAGTGCTCAAACAATTGGACAAACTTGGAAGGAATTTTCTCTGGAAAGGGAACAGTGAGGGTCACAAGTTTCACCTGGTCAAATGGGCCAAAGTAACTCAACCAAAGGACCTTGGTGGACTTGGAATAAAAGACTTGGCAAAACACAACTAGAGCATGCTAATGAAATGGCTTGGGAGATTCGGGGAGGAAGACGCCAACCTATGGAAGAAGGTGGTGACTGCTAAACATGGACTCAATATTTAAAAAAGCGCCCGCTTCCTCGCTTTAAGCGAGAAGCGAAGCGAAGCGAGAAGCTGCACGCTTCACCCTGCTGAAGCGACTGAGGTGTAGAAAAGCGACCGCTTCCCACTAAAAAGCGAGAAGCGGGAAAGCGATGCGATGCGAAGAAGCGACCGCTTCTGTGTTTTAAAACAGACCCAGCCCTATTTTATTAAAAACGAGGTCTGGTCTTTCATTAAACTAACAAATGCAATGAGACTAGGGTTTTAAAGACACTAGTCGACTTCTTCTTCTTCATCGACTGAAAGCATCAACTTCAAGTTCAAACAACAGGTATGTTCTGATTTTTCTTCTCCTTCTTCTCCTTCTTCTTCTTCTTCTTTTTCTTTTTCTTTCACTGTTTAAACGTCCAAAAAGCAGCGAAATGCTGGCGAAATTTTTTTTTACCTTCGGTTCTTTCTCAGAAATAATGCCAATTTTTAAACAGTGAAAGAAAAAATTGCCCAGTTTACTGTCCAGTTTTTTTTTCTCCTCTGCCCAGTTTTTTTTATTTTACCTCTAATTTTTATATCCTTTATTGTTAGTTCTTATTGTCTTTCTTATGTGCTATGTAGTTGTTCTTTTAATGGCGAAGAAGTTGAAGAAGTTGACGAGCAATATAATAATGATAATGGAATACAATAATTTGACAATCTTGTAGAAGAATAGGATGCTCATTTTGTGCTTTAATTGATGCTACTATTTAGTTTTCACATTGAAGTATTGAACATTTGATTACAATTACATGTGTTGTCTATGCAGTATTAATTTTAATTTTTTTTTAAAATTCCCCTTCACTTCAAAAAAGCGAGCGCTTCGCTTCTCGCTTCTCGCTTTAAGCGAAATGGGGATTGTCGCTTTTTCTCGCTTCACGCTCTTCACAACACTGCATGAACTACAAAATCACTGGTGTACTAAACTCAGCAGGTCTCCTCATGGTGTTGGCCCATGGAAACACATCAGGAGCCTTTGGGAGGATTTTTCACAGAATATTTCATTCAAGGTGGGTAATGGGTTACATGTTAGATTCTGGAAAGATATCTGGTTGGACAGTCTCCCACTGGAAGAGAGCTTTCCACTACTGTTTCAGATTGCTAGTGATCCCAACTCTACAATAAGTCAATACAGATCAGGAAACTCATGGGTCCCACTGTTCAGAAGGAATATGCATGACTGGGAGTTAGGTAGTTTGTTTACATTGCTTGGTAGACTGGGAACCTTCACTATGAAAGAGCAGATCCCTAACAGAATCAGATGGGTTGGTTGTGACTCAAGTCCATATTCAATGAAGATGGGCTACAGACGCATATGTGAGCATAATGGAAACATTGACTCGTGGCCATGGAAGCTCACCTGGAAGACAAAGCTTCCAACAAAGGTTATCTGCTTTACTTGGACTGCACTCAAAGAAGCCAGCCTAACTCAAGACAATCTCTGCAAAAGGAGCTTTCAGCTGGTAAATAGATGCTACCTATGTCAGCAAAGTTCTGAGTTAGTCAACCACATATTCTTACATTGTCCAGTGGCAACAAATATGTGGTGTATGTTTCTTTTTATCCTGGGAATAAGCTGGACACAACCACAGGGCATCAGGGAAGCAGTGGAAGGTTGGAGCAGCTGGAAAGTTGAAAGGGCCATTAAGAAAGTCTGGAAGATGATCCCAGTATGCATTTTTTGGTGCATTTGGCAAGAAAGGAATCGCAGATGCTTTGATGGCATTTCAACTTCTATACACGCTATCAAAGCCAATTGCCTTGTGCAACTATTTAGTTGGAGTTCTCTAACACCTATAAATAATGTAATTCCTCTTCTAGATTTCATTGGATCTCTGAGTCTAGCTTAACTCAGTTATATCCTTACTTTTGTTTTTGAGTTAGCTCCCTAAGCAGATTAAGTCTTTGTAATGGAGCTAACTCAATTCCTTCTTGTAACTTTGCATCTTCTGGATGCCTGCAATGAAGAATCTTATTTCATCAAAAAAATATAGCTGTTTGATCTTTTCAGTTTACAGAGAGCAAGAAGTGTTTGCACCTTCTGGAATGACAATCTTAATATGCTTTGTCCTTTCCTAGAACATTGGGGTTGAAGCAATGTATCTTGCAGCCTGGTTGTCACATATCAATTGCATCAGTGCATCTCCCCCCAACTTAACTCTCTNCGATGCCTGCAATGAAGAATCTTATTTCATTAAAAAAAAAAAAAATTATCCAACCAAAGTTCGGGGTTGAATTCAAAGGTAGCAGTGTGGGAAATGAAGATGGTTAAAATTACTAAGTCCTTTCTACAGTGCCAGTCAAATATGAAATGAGTGATTAAAACTAGCTGAAATGAACAAGTAACATAGAGCAAGTAGTAACTAGAAAACAAGTTGAGAACCAATATATTTAGGTAGTTGAGATTTCACCCCACCTCTATCGCCTAATTAATTTGTTAATTTGCCGAATTAGCTTTTAATTTACTTGAAATATTGTTATGGTCAATACTAATTTACCCTGTAGAATCTCCCATCCCAATGGTTCTATCTCAATTAGCTTGGAAGCTAATTGAGGTTCTGTAAGAGCAAATTGACTAATACCCAAGGTAGAAATAGCTATCCGTATCTTATTTCCATATATCCATTTACCTTGCCAGTTAACCATTACCTAATCCTAAAACCACTTTCCCAGATAAGAATTAAGATAAATGGACATCAATCAAATGTTGGTCACTAGCATAGATTTAATAACTAGACAACAATAAAATCAAGCAAGTTCAAGGAATTAATTAAATATCTATTAATCGACAAGAGGGGTTACTTTAGTGGTGAGCACCCTCCACTTCCAACCAAGAGGTTGTGAGTTCGAGTCACCCCAAGAGCAAGGTGGGGAGTTCTCGAAGGGAGGGAGCCGAGGGTCTATCGGATACAGCCTCTCTACCTCAGGGTAGGGGTAAGGTCTGCGTACACACTCAGACCCCACTAGTGGGATTATACTGGGTTGTTGTTGTTATTGTATTTGGAATAAAATTGCAACTAGGATTTTAGTTTCACATAATGTAAATTGAAATAAAATGAAACTTAAGTAACAAACATGATGGTGACGAGAGCAAAACCGGTGTGTAAAAACTGAAGCTCGCTAGTCAAAGATAGTATAGAAAAATATCGTTTCTACAGGGATTAGTTTAGAAAATGTTCAAGTAAATTTATGGAATGTCGCTATTCAAGATGAATCGCACTTTTGATTTGAAGTGATTAATGACTACAATTATTAACTAAAATTACGACTAAGTAAATTCGATCGGAAAACTAGAGAGTAGAGCTAAAGCAGGTTGTTATCAATATGAGAAATAAGTATCGTGACACGGTAGGTACATCATCGCTATCCCGGATCTAGCTCTGTTCAATTTCACTCTTGAAGTTTTATTAATTCTCACGAATTCGACAGGTGATTAGCTATTCTTATGGTCAAGATTCTTCTTTCTAATAAACCTAAATCTTACAAATAAACTAATCTGAAGTGTAGTGAAATGTGCAAGAATCTCGTTGGTAGGAATAGTCTAAGAGAAACTGTAGATTTTTAAGAAGAAGAAAAAGCTTCTTGTATATCTGTGTATTTCTTACATCCCTAAGCAAAGGTATTTATACACTAAGTCCTCTGACTATTTTATGAAGGAAAATAAATTACAATCAATCAGAAAAAAATCTTTCCTAATAATTAGGTCAATCAACACTCCCCCTCAAGTTGGTGTAAAGATGTCGCATATGCCTAACTTGCAAACCAGTGTATGAAAAGTCTGTTTGTTAAGACCCTTGGTAAACATATCAGCTAACTGTTTTTCTGATGGCACATGAAACAAACTCAAGACACTAGTTGTAATTTTTTCTTTGATGAAGTGTCGATCAATTTCCACATGCTTTGTTCGGTCATGCTGGACTAGATTATGAGTTATACTGATGCCAGCCTTATTCTCATAGTACGAGGAAAGTTTTCCTTTTTCAGACAGTCTCAATTCCTCCAGTAGCTTTTGTAGCCAAAACATTTCGCAAACACCCTGGGCCATAACTATATATTTTGCCTCCGCACTTGATCTAGCAACTACACTTTGCTTCTTGCTTCTCCAAGTAACTAAGTTTCCTTCTACGAGCGTACAGTAACCCAGATGTAGATCTTCTGTCATCCAAAGATCCAACCCAATCCGCGTCTGTAAAGGCTTCTATTTGGAGGTGATCATGTTCGGAGAAAAGTAGACCTTTTCCTGGAGCAAACTTCAGATACCGCAAAATGTGCTAGACAACTTGCATATGAGGATCTGACTCACTAGGCTAACTGAATAAGCTATGTCTGGTCTAGTGTGGGATAGATAAATGGGTTTTCTAACCAATCTCTGATAGCTCTCCTTATCAATTGACTCTCCAACTCCGCTTTGTAACTTGTGATTGCTTTCAACGGGCGATTCTGCGGGTCTACAACCTATCATATCAGTTTCTTTCAAGAGATCCAGAATATACTTCCTCTGAGAAATAAAGATTCCTCTTTTTGATCTAGCAACCTCAATTCCCAAGAAGTACTGCAATTTTCCTAGATCCTTGATCTCAAATTCATGTGCCAACAATTTCTTCAATCGGGCCATCTCCTCTTTGTCATCTCCTATCATTACTATGTCATCAAAATAAACTATGAGAAGAGTGAGTTTACCCGTATGATGTCTTATGAAGAGGGTGTGATCAGCATTGCTTTGTTGGTAACCAAAAGGAGATCATTGTTTTGCAGAATCTGTCAAACCAGGCTCTGGGATTGCTTCAGTCCGTACAAGATTTTCTTCGATCTGCATACCTTTCCTTGACTTTGTTCAGTATCAAATCCAAGAGGAATCTCCATATACACCTCTTCTTCTAAGTCTCCATGAAGAAATGCATTCTTCACATCAAACTTTTGCAAGTCCCAATCAAGATTAGCTGCACAAGACAAAAGAATTCTAATAGTGTTCATCTTAGCAACAGGGGCAAATGTCTCTTGATAATCCACTCCATAAGTCTGAGTGAATCCCTTAGCCACCAATCTTGCTTTGAATCTTTTAATCAAGCCATCAGCTTTGTGCTTCACAGTGAAGACCCATTTGCAACCAACTAACTTCTTGTCTGGTGGTGAAGTGACAAGTTCCGACGTCTCATTTTTTGACAAGGCCTTCATTTCTTCAATCATAGCTTGCTTCCATTTAGGGTTTGCAAAAACTTCCCTCCCATTCTGTGGAATAGACACAAAAAAAATAGACAAGCCAAAGGACAGAATTATATGAGACAAAATTAGATAAAGGGTGTTTGGTGGTGCAAGATCTGACTCCTTTTCTGTGAGCAATAGGTTCATATAACTCATTAGGAAATGTAGATAACTCACCAGCAAAAGAAGGTTGAGCTTCGGTAGATTGCATGATGGCTTCTTCTGCTCTATTTTTCCTTGAGTAAGTTTTCAAATCAGGCCTATCCAAGCGCCCAATAGTCTCCCCCTGAATTCTTTCTCCAATTTCACTTTTCCCTGTGACAATGTCATCAAGAGGTCCAGTAATGGAACTAGGTAGGATCACCTCTTCCTCCTTACTGCTCTCCCCGTGAAGAGGTGATGGGGTAATACTGAAATAGGGCTCAGATTCTCGAAAAGTAACATCCGTGCTAACAAAGGATCTCCTAGATGGAGGATGATAACATTTGTAACCTTTCTGTGTCGGAGAGAATACCCAATGAAAACACACTTTATAGCTCTAGGATCAAGTTTTCTAGAATTTCTAGTGTGGACAAAGCAAACACATCCAAACACCTTTGGAGGAACAATATATTCATTCTTACCCTTTAAAGCTTCCAGAGGACTTTGAAAATTGAGGGTTTTAAGAGGCATTTTGTTAATAAGATAGGCAGCCACTAGAATAACATCCTCCTAATAAGGTTTTGGTAGATGCATGGTGAACATAAGAGATCGTGCTACTTCTAACAAATGTGTGAGAAATAATATACGGGAAAGTTATATTATTGATAATGTTAACTATAATACAAGTACCCATATTTATAACAATACACAATACCTACACTACTCCTATTCCATGTAGGACTATGCTTATTTACATTATAACTAACTAACACTCCCCCACAAGCCGGTGCATACAAATCATATGTACCGAGCTTGTTACATATATAACTAATACGAGGACCAGTGAGGGACTTAGTGAAAATATCTGCAAGCTGATCATTCGACTTCACAAACTTTGTAGCAATATCTCCTGAGAGTATCTTTTTTCTGACAAAGTGACAGTCAATCTCAATGTGTTTAGTTTTTTCATGGAACACCGGATTTGATGCAATATGAAGGGCAGCTTGATTATCGCACACAAGTTCCATCTGGCTGATTTCACCAAATTTCAACTCCTTGAGCAATTGTTTGATCCAAACTAGCTCACATGTTGCCATAGTCATTGCTCGATATTCTGCTTCTGCACTAGATCAAGCAACTATATTTTGTTTCTTGCTCTTCCAAGACACCAGATTGCCTCCTCATAAAACACAATATCCGGACGTAGAACGTCTATCAGAAGGTGATCCTGCCAAATCAACATTTGAGTATCCAACAATCTGCTCATGGCCTAGATCCTCAAACAATAATCCTTTACCTGGAGCCGATTTTATATATCGAAGAATGCTGACAACTGCATCCCAATGACTATCACAGGGATAATCCATAAACTGACTTACAACACTTACAGAAAAGGAAATGTCAGGTCTAGTCAATGTGAGATAATTTAATTTACCAATCAGCCGCCTATATCTTGCAGGATCGCTAAGCGGCTCCCCCTGTCCTGTCAGAAGTTTAGAATTCGGATCCATCAGAGTGTCAACAGGTCTATAGCTTGTCATTCCTGTCTCCTCAAGAATGTCTAAGGCATACTTCCGTTGTGAGATCACAATACCTGAGCTAGACTGAGCGACCTCAAAACCCAGAAAATACTTTAGTCCGCCCAGATCCTTAGTCTGAAAGTGTTGAAAGAGATGTTGCTTCAATTTAGTAATACCATCCCGATCATTGCCGGTAATAACAATATCTTCAACATTGACCACCAGATAAATACAGAGACTTAGAAGGAGAATGCCGATAAAACATAAAGTGATCAGCTTCACTACGAGTCATGCCAAACTCCTAGATAACTGTGTTGGACTTACCAAACCAGGCTCGAGGAGACTGCTTTAAACCATTAAGTGACCGGCGCAAGCGACATACAAGGCCACGAGACTCCCCCTGAGCAACAAACCCAGGTGGTTGCTCCATATAAACTTCATCCTTAAGGTCACCGTGTAGAAAAGCATTCTTAATGTCCAGCTGATAAAGAGGCCAATGGCGAACAACAACCATGGATAGAAAAAGGCGGATTGATGCTATCTTAGCCACGGGAGAAAAGGTATCACTGTAATCGAGCCCAAATATCTGAGTATATTTCTTGGCAACAAGACGGGCCTTAAGTCGATCAACCTTGCCATTCGGACCAACCTTGACTGCATAAACCCAACGACAACCAACAATAAATTTACCTGAAGGAAGAGGAACAAGCTCCCAAGTACCACTCGTATGTAAAGCTGACATCTCGTCAATCATAGCATGTTGCCATCCTGGATGAGACAATGCTTTACCTGTAGACTTAGGGATAGAAACAGAGGACAAAGAAGATATAAAAGCATAATGGGGTGATGACAGGACGATGATAACTTAAACCGACATAATGGGGATTAGGATTAAGTGCGGTCCATTGGGCGCGGACGGCGATGATAAGTCAAGAGTGGTGTTCCTGTGGCTGGGGATCTAGGAGGAGCAACACTAGACTCCTCAATGGCTGGGGATCTAGGAGGAGCAATAGGAGCAATACTAGACTTAATGGTTGGTATAGGTAAGACTTCTGTTGTTGAAGGTGGTGAAGGATCTATAGTAAACTCCTCAAAGGTCGGTATAGGTAAGACCTCAGATATATCAAGGTGGTCAGAAGAGGTAAAGAAAGGTTTAGACTAAAAAAATGTGACGTCAACTGACATAAGGTACCTACGAATACAAGGTGAGTAACAACGATATCCTTTCTGAACACGAGAATAACTAAGGAAGACACACTTGAGAGCACGAGGAGCTAACTTATCTTTCCCAGAGGCTAAGTTATGAACGAAACATGTGCTCCCAAAAACACGAGGGGGAAGAGAGTATAAGGGTGACTGAGGAAACAATACTGAATATGGAATCTAATTCTGGATGGGAGATGAAGGCATCTGATTAATCAAATAACAAGTTGTGAGAACTGGATCGCCCTAAAACGCAACGGAACATGAGATTCAATGAGAAGAGTGCGAGCAGTCTCAATGAGGTGCCTATTCTTTCTCTCTGCAACCCCATTTTGTTGAGGTGTATAAGGATAAGATGTCTGATGAATAATTCCTTGAGAAGTCATAAACTGCTGAAACTGAGAGGATAAGTATTCTAAGGCATTATCACTGCGAAAAGTGCGAATAGAAACACCAAATTGATTTTTGATTTCAGCACAAAAATTCTGGAATATAGAAAACAACTCAGAACGATCTTTCATTAAGAAAAGCCAAGTACATCTTGAATAATCATCAATGAAACTAACAAAATAACGAAATCCCAAGGTTGAACTGACTCTACTAGGACCCCATATATTAGAATGAACTAAAGAGAAAACAGACTCTGCATGACTCTCAACACTACGCAGAATGGAGGCTTGAGTATGTTCCCCAAGCTGACACGACTCACAATCTAATGTAGACAAACTAGGCACCATTTTCTGAAGCTTGGATAAACTCATATGTCCTAATCGTCTGTGAATTAGCTCCGGAGGATTTGTAACTAGACATGCTTTGGAGGGATTGAGTGAGTTAAGGTAGTAAAGGCCTTCTGATTCACGCCCTGTGCCAATCGTCTGTCCCGTACTGCGGTCCTGCATAATAAAAGAATCATCAATAAAATATATACTATAATGGAGGGCACGAGTCAAACGACTAACAGATGCAAGACTAAAAGGACAGCCAGAGACAAAGAATGAAATCTAGAGTGACAGAAGATAAGGGATTAGCTTGTCTAACTCCTTTTGCTTTAGTTTGAAACCTATTGGCTAAAGTAACAGTGGGAAGAGACTGTGAATACACAATATTCGACAAAAGAGATTTATTACCAGAGATATGATCAGAAGCGCCTGAGTCCATGACCCATGGTCTAAGAGTACTAGACTAGGAAACACAAGCAAAAGAATGACCAACGACAAAAGTATCAGTCTGAGCAACCGATGCTACTTGTGGAGATGTCTGCTTACTTGCTCGATACTGAAGGAACTCATTATATTCTCCTTCAGATAAAGAAAATCCCTGGTTACCTGTAGTCTCGGTCTGAGCAACATAAGCATTTTTGGGTGGTCGACCATGTAAAGAATAGCACACTTCACGAGTGTGTCCAAGTTTATAACAATAAGAACACTTGGGTCTAGATCTTCCAAAACAACCTCCTCCTTGTCTATTCTCCATAGTTTGAGATGCCCGATTTTCCACTGTTTGGGATGCGAGAACAGAGGAGTCGAGTGTCTGTGATGAGATCACTTGGTGACTTGGTGCTGCGGCAAGGCGA